ATACATTAAGATCAAAATTTATTGACACTATTGGCTATACAATTTCCAAAACCAAATTTGTTAAAACTGACCCACTTCATGAACCACAAGGTTTCGTTGAGCCACTTCATTTGCATAGCTCAAATCAATTTAAAATAATAATTTTTAAAATATAAAATAAAATAATGTTATTTAAAAAAAATTGACTAGGTCAGCACTCAAATTTTTTAAAACTCAACTTGATTTTAACTATGTTAACAAATTCAAGTTGATCTATGGAACCTAACAATTCTAAAAATACTGCATGCATGATAGGCTCTGTGCACAAGCTGATAATTCTTTAAGCATGGAAAAAAGCTAGAAATAATAATATTTTAGGGTTCTTATCATCACATTCTTTGCACATTGGTTTCATTTCACTGTACTAGCTAGGGTTTTTGCATCATGCCTAATTCATAAAACATCACGTTCCATTTAACCAGAATTATTTCCACTTTTTATAATTTCTGGTTAAGTAATTATCAAGCTAAGAAAATGTACTGGCTAGCTAGCTCCATCAACTCTCTTCTAGTTTCCTTTTCTCATACTTTGGTTAAAGTGTTTCTCTTTTCAAAAGTTAAAGAAAGATGGCTGATAGTTACTGAGCATCAATAATGGAAAAGTCTAAAAGAGAGAGAAAGGAGTGATCTTGAATTTCTCACTGCGTGGCACATTTGTAAATTCGATAACCATTTTAGGTTTGGGTCAGCATGCAATCTATTTTACGTCATCCACCCATCCCTTCGAGTGTGGCTACATCGAAACTCGTTTTTATTTTTATTTTGTAAAACTAGAAGTCAACCAATTAATATTCCGATTTCACACACAAAAAGTAAATATATTCCAATTAGATCCCCAATGGTTCCAAGTCTCTCAAAAATCAAAATGTAAATCCAAAACAAGCAAATGACTCAGCTGCACAAACGCATCTCATTGCCCCCACCACCACCCATATAATATTCCTGCCCTTACCGTTTGCTATTTTGTTATTTGACATTAATACACACATTAAGGGTGATAATAGATTTAATAGTATAATGAAATAATATTATTTAATTAGTTGCCTCTATGATGGCTTGAAAGACACCATGAATGCTAAACATTGTGTTTTTTTTTCAAGCTCACACTAAACATCAAATTATTGTTTTTGTATTATTAAAATAAAAAAAAACTAGTAAAACAAAAGAGCAAGGTGACATCTTCTAGAGAAAAATAGATAGGTGGCTGAGTTGTATCACAACTTGGGCTCAAAATCTCTCAATGCTAAAACACATACACCAATAATATTAATGTCTTTAAAAAATAATATATATATATATATGACACAAGTTATAGATTTATTAGGTTAATAATTTATTTTTATTTAATTTTATGATATAAAACACACAACGATAATATATAGATTAAATCTTTATAAAACAATAATATTCATAAGCTGCACAAAAAGAATGCTTTCCAAAAGAAAAAATATATCATGAAGCTCAAATTTTAAACAACTTAACATTGTACGATGAAATTGGAAAAAAAAAATGGCATGTGTTGACCCAAAATAACATGTCGAACCGACTACTTGAGTTGTGAAATCAAAATTACATAGAACACTACTAGGATTTTTAGATTTATTGACAGAATCTTTTATCAGTATTTATACTCACAATCCATGGGCACTATTTTTACCAACGGTTGCTCATGAATAGAAATACTTTGTTGGTAAAACTCTCGTTAATGACTTTTGGTTTTTTAGTGAGTCTATCGGTAAAATTACTAATGGATTTACTGATGATTAAAATGCATAAAAAAATTATCTGCTTTATTTCATTGGTATTTTTCTTAGGAAATTTGACATATAATCAATAGAAAGATCGTATGTAATTTCATTGGTAATTAAACAGTGGTAGTGATATTTGTAGTAATTATTTTCAACTTTCTATAACACACACACACACTCACACTGATAGACTTGATTTGTTGATAATTATTTAAAAATATTTTTTTAAAAAAAAATCTATTAAATAAAAGTACAAAATAATTAAAATAAGTTAAATTAATATAAATCAACACTCAATAATAATACACAGGAATTGAGTTGCTTGGAAAAAAAAAAGACAAAAACCAAATCAATCAAATTTACAACAAATAAATAATTAAAAAAAACAATGATAAATAATAAATAAATCAACTAAAATACATTTCCACCTAACCTAAAAAACCTATTTCATAACTTATAATCTAGCAATAAATAAATTCATTTAATTGCAATTGACAACAAAATTAACTAATAATAATTAAAATCAATCCTATATATTTAATTGAAATTAAACATCAAAATTGAAAAACATAATCCAACTAAAATTCAACAAAATTGTTTTCATATGAAAAATATTCCTACAACAACATTCATATAATTATTAAAATAAAAAATATTAAGAAAAAGAAATATAATGAAAAAAACACAACAAAAGAGAAGAAAAAAGAAAATCTTACTTTAATTACGTTGCAAATGAAGATGGGAAGAGAAAAACAAAAGAAGACAAATTCATAAAGCATGTTAATTAACAAAAAAAAACAAAAAAAAATAAGAGGAGAAAACATACTTGCACATGAAGAAGGAGAGAAAAGAAGGAGTTGAGAAGAGAAGAGAAATAAAAAGAGAAATGTTGATGTTTTTTACATAAAAGAGAGAGAAGAAGTTAATGATGATGAAAATGTACGTTTGTTATGAAATTGGCGATTCTAGTTTTTTAACTGTGTTTTTTTATTGATGATTTTAATGATGAATAATTAAATTTTAATATTTTTAATCATTCTATCAATAATTCCACTTGTAATATTTAATTTAAATCTTCAATTTAATCAAAAAAATTTAAAAACTTTTCAAGTATCACCGATGACTTTTAAATCCATCAATGATTTCACATGTAATATTTAAATTAAATTTTTAATTTGATGAAAAATTAAAAACTATCTCAATATCATCGAAGACTTTTTCATTTCGTCAGTAATTATATTTGTAAAGAATAGTAATTAACAATATAATTAAAAAATAAATAGTTCTAGAGCTCTTAGAAAAATACCAACAGACTTAATCCATAAGTGATCACGTATGTGATTGATAACATGAACAGTGCAATTAAAAAATGAGCAGTCCTAAAGCTCTGTAGAATATACTGGTGGACTTAATCTGTTGGTAATATTCTTTATAATAACAAAATAAAAAGTGCTAGGGAAAAAGAAATAGTTTTAATGCTCTCTAGAACATAGTGACAGACTTATTATATCAATGTATTTGTTGGCATTTTACAGTTTCAATACTTTCTTAAATATTGCAATTGAATTTATGGATAAATTTTACTAAAAAAAATTAATATCATGGGTAGTGCTGTCAGTATAAATGATACGTCATTATACTTTTCAGCTCTTTTTAATTTCATATTTTTTCCACTATAACTCTCTTGGTATATATTAACAAAGTATTTTTTTTTTGTGTTTACTAATAGATATAACAAGAGAAAATTATGTTAGCAAAATTCATTGCAATCTACTAAAAAAATATTATATTGATATTTCCATTATTATTTGCTAATTTTCTAGTAGTGAAATGTAGATAAGAAAAATTATCGTCCTCAATTCCCAACAACCAAAATGTAAAAGGATAAAAAACTTTTTTTAAAAAATCAATTAACAAAAAGAACAGAAAACAATAAACTTGGTCAAGTCCATTAAACCTCGCGAGATGGATTGTGTAAATATGATAACCTAATACAAAAACAAAATAAAAAATTAAGAAGTTTAATTCTCAAACCAAGCAAGTATTGAAGGATAAATCAAATTTTTTTTTATAAAAACAATGCTAAAGAAGACCAAGTCAACCCGCGCTAACCCACCAAATTCACAAATTATGTTGTGAGATTGAGTTAACCCCATATAAAATAAAGTAAAGTAAAGAACATCACAAATCTCAATTTTCAATAAACCCAACACCAATAAATAAAATAAAAAATGAAAATCAATAAGAAAAAAAACTAATTTTAATCCGAGTTAACCTTTCAAATGCGTGATGCAGGTCATGAGGATGAAATTACCTCACAGAAAAAAAAATCATGTAGTTTAATTCTAAATTAATCCAATGTTAAAAAATAAAATTGAAAATAAAACTCAATTTAAAAAAAAATCCAAAGAAAAAAATCAATAAAAAAAATGAGGTTCAAAATTGATATAAAAATAAAATGATAGGATATTTTTTTATTTTTGCTAGACTAGAATGGACAGAGTTCGAGTATAGGAGATAAAAAAAGAAGTAAAAAAGTTATGTCATCACCTAATTGCAGAACACGCGCATAAAATCTAATCCTTGATATTAACTAAAAAAAAAAGACTGAATATTTATTAAAATCTTAATTTTAATCCTTTAAATTGTAATTATTTTTAAAATTAATAAAATAAAATTTTATTTTATAAATCATGCATATCATCCAAGCAACAAAATATTTCTTAACATCTTAAAATCCTTATATGCAGGCATAAAAAAGGAATTACCAGAAACAATCACAATTCAAAGCAATAAAAAAAAAAGCCAAATCAGAAGAAAAAGAAATTGAGAGACCAAAACGTAAAAAATACTAGAAAAAAAAAAGAAGAGAAATGAACAGTAAGCATGATGATTATAAGCATGACCACAACATTTCATCATCATCATTAATCATTAATTATTTCGATTTGAAAATTAATTAAATGCATTACGTCCGTTTCCCTTCACGGCACCCATCAGAACTTCAGAAAATAACAAAAACTTATATATTTTTTTAGAGCTGGCCAATATTGAATAATTATTTATTTGTCTTTTTCCTTTGATTATTTATTTGGGTTTTTTTCTTTTAATTATTTAATTCAGAATAATATTTCAAAAAATTAATTAATCTCCCTCCTTCTCCCTCCCCTCCGTAAGGCGTAAGCAACTATAAATACGCGTTCTGGCCACCCACCCGTTTCTATTCTATAAATCATCAGCGTTTCTTTTCCTTTTATCCTCCTCTTCTTAGAATCACTCAAGCAACCACACACACAAAAGTAGTAGATCGCTCGCTCTGCAAAATTCTTCCAAATCAATGGCAACCAAAGTCTATATTGTGTAAATCTCTCTCTCTTAATACCCTTAATTTTCCATTTCTAATCTCTTATAACCTTGAATTAGTTTATTTGTATTCAATCACGATTTGAGCAAGGGTTTATTCTATTGATTCATTTGCAAATATTTAAAGCCTGCATTGCGTTTGTTTGTTTCTAACAAGTTCTTCTGGTTTTTAGTGTCTGATCTGTATTGTATCTCTAATTAATCATGCAGTTTAGAATTTTAATTTATTTTTTTATTTTGTGGATTAATTAGTGTTGCGAAGCTCATCTTATGCTTGATGACTAAGATAAGATATAAATGTGCGGTGTTGATTTTTCGGATCTTTGAATGCAGTGGAGTTCGAGGTCTTGTCGGTATTCACATGATTCTTGTTTTTATGTCAGTCGAACATTTAATTCAATTATTTATTGAGTGAGTCGGTCTCAAGTTCGATCTTCTCCTTTGTAACCCAAAAGAATTAAAAAAAAAATTATTGCTGCTCGTTTATTGTTCATCTGGCAATCCTTTCATTGCCTGGTATTTTCCACTTGTAAATCTTTTAAAAGGTTCTGGAGGAAGTAAATTTTTGTTGCTTAAGTGTTGAAGTTAGAGTATATTTAGCTCTCTCGTTCCATAAAATTTTGATAGATTAGTTGAGATAATAATTCTCTGAAGATCCAGTCTAAATCCCCATTAAAAGAAAGGCATTTGCTGCTGCTACAGAGTACAGACTACGATTTTTCATGATTTTCACCAGTTGCATGGATATCGTACTGGTTTGGGGACACTTCATGATTTCACTAAGAATGGTCAAATTAGCTGGTAGTTCTTGCTATGTTAGTGGTATGAAGTCTTTTCCAAGCTCATACATAGTGGGCTAGTGGGCACTATCTAGGCATCCACTATTTCGTGGGATGGTCTATTGGGGTCAGGTGGTTTATTGCTAACAGAATAATACAAAACACAATGAGGGAGAGTATTTCCTTTTTTTTATTTTCTTACTTTTTTTATTGGGTGTACGGGGTGTTTGAATGGGAATATGTTTGCACATAAGTCTAGTTTGCAGATCTAGAATTCTCAGAATCCAGACATTACAGCATAAAATGTATAGTAAGTCAATTCTTTGAAAGATAGGATGAAATGATGTGGTGAGCTTGTTGGCGCTGTGTCAGTTTAGGCATGATGAAGCATGAAAGCCAACGTTATCTATTTTCTCACTGTGTCCAAAGTAACCATGACACATGACTCGCTCATTTCAGTGGCCTGATGGTCTTCTGTTGCAAATTTTTGAATGTAATGGGTATGAGGTCCCATTTTATTTGTCATATCTTAAGGACTCATCCGCTGTACTGTTTGATCATTATGTATGGTGCACCAAGTATTGCAGTCTATATTAACCTTTGCTATCTGTGGTTTTCGTATTATACAAACACTTTCTAGTAGACCAACTTCTGGTTTGGATTAGACTTTCTTATGGACAGATATTCGATTGGGTTTAAAAACATGATGGAAAGGCATCACCTTTAAAGACTGTTATTAACAGCTTGTGAATATGCGATTTCATGCAACTTATTTTTATATGCTACAATCTCTTCTTCACATTTTTCTCCTTACTGAGGTTTTATATTTTTGGGGTTTAGGGAAGAGGTTATGATGAAGCATGCTTTGGACTTTTCTCCTCATAATCTGTCTCATAAAGTTTCTTATAACTTCTACAGGTACTATTCCATGTACGGACATGTAGAGAAACTGGCAGAAGAGATTAAGAAAGGGGCTTCATCCGTTGAAGGTGTTGAGGCCAAATTATGGCAGGTAAGGAAGTACATGTTGAACTATTGAGTTTACCTTCATGTTGTAGCCTGTATATGATGATACCATTTTGTTGTTGTGATGTTGAACTATTTAGTTTACCTTCATGTTGTAGCCTGTGTATGATGATACATAGTAGAATGCCACTAGAATTTTAGATTGAAAAGGAACTAGGATTCCTTTGAGACTCATGAATCTAGACTTGCTTATAAAAATGTTGGCTGCCAGTGAAGTTCTGTGGTTATCAGAATTCATCATCAACATCCATGGATCCCATGCTTTATGTGAACTGCTGCATGCAGTTTTGAAGGTTTTCACTGTCATTGCATTTATGACGATCAGTATTATCACTTTAATCTCTCTCTTAATTATGTCGATGTTGCTCCCACGTCCCAAGTTTTCTCATCTTGTCTGCCACTCAAGTTTGTAATCTAATAAAATAGGAATGCATCTTGATAGTTCAACTGGTGGCTAGGAAATCCTTTCAGTTCAATTTTTCTGAAGTTCTCTACTTGAATTAATTGGTACAGTTACTTATCATTTTAAGCACAAAATTCCACTAGCTGTCACAGTCTGTTCCTTGCCATGGTTTTGGAACAATGCTGAAATTTCTTGGATTATTTTTTGAAGCAGAGGTTCTTCCTTGTGGTTTTTAAGATATTGCAAAAAAAATGTACTTATCCAGTCCTCGTCCTCATGTGTATCAGGTTTCTGAGACACTGCCAGAAGAGGTGCTAGGAAAGATGAGTGCACCACCAAAGAGTGATGTACCAATCATTACACCTAGTGAACTTGCAGAAGCTGATGGCTTTGTGTTTGGATTCCCAACAAGATTTGGAATGATGGCCGCCCAATTCAAAGCTTTTCTGGATGCAACTGGAGGTCTATGGAAAACACAGCAACTTGCTGGCAAGCCTGCAGGAATCTTCTTTAGCACTGGATCCCAAGGTGGTGGCCAAGAGACCACAGCGTAAGTCCCTCTTTCACTGTTAGCAAATTACCTTTTTCATCGTTAGCAAGTTGAGTGTTTTACTTGAAAACTTGCTAGAAAGTGAAAGCAACGACGCTTTATGAAAATGCTGAGATTGTTACAGGTTGACTGCTATTACCCAACTCGTTCACCATGGGATGATATTCGTTCCCATTGGCTACACATTCGGCGCCGGCATGTTTGAGATGGAGAAGGTTAAAGGTGGAAGTCCTTATGGCGCAGGAACTTTTGCTGGGGATGGCTCAAGACAGCCAACCGAGCTTGAACTGGAGCAGGCTTTCCACCAGGGCAAGTACATCGCTGCCATCACAAAGAAGCTCAAGGGAGCTGCATAAGTTTGCTCGATTACATGAATACAGGCTGGTCTTCCATTTTTTACTGTCATAAAATATGCATTTGCAAAGAATAATTCTTGATCTGCTGGTTATTATATGCTTAGTATTAATTGCCAGTGATCACAAGGTTGATTGTGCTTCCATTTGTTCCATTCCCCAATGCATTATAATTTGATTTCTTCCGTCCTCTGTTTTCAGGAACTTTACTTTAATCTACTCTCTTGTATGTTGAAAAGCAATAAGATTTACATAATCGTATGAAATAAGAGTTTTTTTTTTTTTTTTAAGCTGATGCCAGGCAGAGCCCTGCTTTAAGCAGCGCATCAATCTATGAAATTAAACCATAGTTCTATCAAAGTTCCTTATCTTGCCATTGCTGATTGTGCCTGCAGAAACAGTTGCCTGTCATTCTTTAGAACCACGCCGTTCTTTCTTTTTATATGATGTGTTAAATAATATATTTTTTAAAATTAATTCTTAACATTAAAATGATACAAATATAAAAATAAATTTAGAATTTTTCAAAAATACTAGCCATCCGCAACGCAAACATGATGTCATAGGAGGCCCAAGGGAAACAAAGCATCAAGAATAATCACATCTAACAAAAGTTAACACCCACCAGCTATAAAGTGTAACCTCACCTTCATGTTCATGCTTGAAAGAAATGTATAAAACATGATGGTCCGGTAAATATTAAGAGGAATTGGATTCATCAATCATTTATTATTTAGTCATTGTTCTCCGAGTAGATATGAGAACCAGCCTATTCTCGGAATACGAATCTCCAAGCAAGGCTGTTCCTCTCATTAAAAAGTGTGCCCTCAAGCAAGCTTTTCTCAGCCACTCGGATTTTGGATTGCAGGGATTATTAAACATAGTGCAAATGCTAGATATGATGGTGTCTTTTCCTTGTTCTAGCCTGTAAATTATCGTTTTAAAAGCAACACATAAAAGGGTTTTGGCTTCTTTGCAGTCAATGAACTTCGAATTATCATTGCAATCAGGCATAAGTCACCAAGAGAGGTGTTGTAACTGTCGAAGCTGTTTCTTCCCATAATCCGGCCAGCCATCCAGTCGCAAGCAAATTCTCCTGTCTCACCACTTTTTACGTGGAACTTACCTATAACTTTTTTTTTTTATTTATGTGGGGTATTTGGGCCAGCTTGCACGCATCACGATTAATTTTCATGGTCCACTGAATACCCTATAAATTTTCATAGTCTATTAAATACTCTACAAATCCAATAAATATGTAAAGCACCGTAACGAGGAGTGATATTTCTTTCCTTGCCTAAGTGCTTGACTTCCCTTTTCTGCTTATGCACTAATCAATCCTCATACCAATAAATAAAACTTTGTACTACAGTATCTTCAACTTAATATATGATTCGACACTAAATGCTGTGCTCGAGTTCCAAGGTAGCTAGGCTGATGTAATGTATTACCTCATATCTTCTTCTCTGCTTTATGCTCATGCCATTCTTGCATAGTTGGATGCCCATTAGTAGTGATAATAAAAATCTCAAGCACTCATCGTCTAGCAAGTTGACAAATATAAACTCCCATCAAAACATATTTTACTCCACTGCACTACCCAGAACAAGAGTCTTCGGGCAATCATTTTTACCCTAAACAATTACAAGATTCCACTTTTTCTCTCTAAATATGGTTCTCCTTTCCGATACATTTTGGATTTAAATCTTAAAAAAATTATGCAGTGGTAATTTTGCTGCAGCACTGGCTGACAAAAAGCTCATGGAACTTTGAAAATAAGGTTTCCAATTGATGAAATGATCAAAGAGGAAACAGTCCCTTTAAACTCACATGATGAGTACTGACTGAACATGAGCAGGCAAAAGCTATACTTAAATGCAAGATAATGATGGCATTAAACTAGCTGAAAAACCAATTCTATTTGTTGCAATGTCATTGGATTCGACTTGTCTAGCTAGTCTAGTGGTATCTAGCCTTGGAATTTATGTCTTAAATTTATATTATAAAAAAGGATATGATACTCGTGAACATTTAAAATTTTCTGTACTTTAAATAAAAGATATGTTTTAAGTGCTAGAATTAAATCAAGCAAAGCTCCTAGAGCAATCTTTGTTTGTTTCGATCCTTCGTCCTTGAAGGGTTTATACAGATGTCATCTTTTCTTTTGTGGAAATTTCTCTTCGACAATTTGATGAGTACCTAGTGGAGCGGTCTCCAGTTTCTACTCCTCTCTACTGCCCTGAAGAGGTCCAGTGCCCAGGATGATCAGTGAATCACATGCTTGTGGAAGTGTAATATCCTGTATCTTGCAATAAATGATGTATATATAGCCCAATCAATTACATTATATTATATTATATTATATTGGTAAAGAATGCCTCTAATTAATTCCTTCCAAGTAAGAATCTTTGTCAGCATTAATATTGTAACTCAGCTTAGCAGGATATATTAGATTGGAATAAACATGAATATTGCAAAAGAGAGAGAAACAAGAAAGAATACATAAATTTAATGTGAATTGGTAATGTATCTATATATTCACGTGAGAAATTAGATTTACATGATATGTATTTATAATAAATCCTAATCGTATTAATAATTCCAAATAATATACCATCCCTCGTTGTGCTTTGCTCTTCTTGCTCCGCTCTACTCCGATATCTGTACATGTACTCTAAGAAAAGTGCATTTAAGAAGCAATAAAAACTTGTAATAGAAGACAAATATATAGATAGGAAAGTAAGCTTTTGATATCTTGAAGTCACATGGAAGACTGTAATACTGGTGAAACAATAATCAACTCTTAGATTCTATGATTTTTAGTAAAGTTGATGTAACTTTCAATAACTTTAAAAATCATAAAGTACTTGATATATTAATTATAAGGTCACGAATCCGGTGCTGAGCTTAAAGAACTATAAGTGTCTTCAAGATGCAAGATCATAATTTATTGCATAATTAGAGGATTAAGCAACAAATTAATTCCAAATAATTACTCGGAAAGATTCTCTCCATTTTTTTTTCTTATTCGTTCTTGATTGGCATCTTGACACGATCGATTTGCATATCTCGTACAAGGATGTGTCTCGAAAACAAAAATCATCACAACTTGAGCCCTTGTTTGCTCAAATTTATACACAGAAATCAATCATTGCCACGATTGGAAGAGGATAAATGGTTTCTCTCCAGTCCGTCATTTGGTACAGAAACTTTTACTCATCTTCTTGTTGCTTTCTTCAGAATAATTCAACATCAAAGTTTTCACTTTCCCCCTACAATACATACATATTTCTTGTGTTCCCTTTAATCATATTTCATAAATACAAACAAGCAACCCTTGAAATAAGTAAATAGGATCATCTATTCATAGTTTCCAGCAGTCTCAAGCATAAAATTATTCAGCACTAATTTTTTTTTTAATGTTTCTACATGTGAAAGTAAGAGAGATTAATGAATAATCGGCTTGCCTTCACCTTCCAATGGAAGCCCCTCAATGTGGCCATTGGATGAAAAGCACAAAAGCAGAGACTGATAGCATCAACACACACATACCTCCATCCCAAACATTTGATGAAAATAAAAACCTAAAAGAGGAGGTGTGGACCACCTTCTGACTTCCACTAACAATATTCCAAACACATAAACAAATCAAAAGTGAGATTTCCAACCAAATGACATCCCCACACTCACTCCCTATCCTGGAATTCAATTATTCTTTCATTCCTTTTCCCTCTTGGTTAAATCAAAACTGAAGCTAGTGCCAGTTCTATTCATGAAATATATATATATTGCAGTAGAAAAAAAATATGAAAAACAAGAGTTTCTTTATGTATCTTCTACTAAACTCAGCTACTTAATAACAGATTAATGTTATCTAAACTAAATCTTCTTGACAGTACTTTCCCTAAAATCAGCACCAATTTTCGTTCCTGACCCACGTTTATTACAGAAAATAATATACTTCCTAACATTGGCCATATATATGCATCCTTTTGACTTTCGGAGAAATGTATTAAATCTCTTTGAATGTACTAGCTGATATGGTAAGTGAGCCTGCCTGCCTTTAAGATTATGTGAAGATTTAATCTCGATCAACACAGAAACTGGCGCTAACATACTTCTTGCCGTCGAAACAAAAATATCATTTTGCTTGTAGCTGGCCGCGTGTACCCTTGGGAAGTCATTTCCTTTTTCTTTCTCTTTCACAGTTTCTCTACATAGTGTTCTTTTCCATCCAGAACTACAGTTAAATATGGGGCTTCTTTGTTTTCTGTTCCTTATTTTTTCTATCCTTAATCTTATCATTCCCAACTTGGCTAGGGTTTGATAAGATCATATACACTAGTTGCATAGAATCTGTTCCCATGCCCGAATTTTTTACCATCGTCCTTTCCTTTTATCTGAAAGTCCCTCCAAATGTGGGGGTCCAAAAATCAACTGTGGTCTCGTGAGTAACCGGAAAAGTGCTCGATACCGGTACTAAACATAGCCCTCGGCTTCTAAGATCTTGTTTTTGTCCTTCAGAATCCCTGGACTTCTCAGAACTCTACAGCAAAAAAGAAGATGCCATATATCAATTTCATGAACAGAAAAAAAGATTCTTACTCCTTGATATTAATTGAAGAATTTATAGTTAAGTATTGAATAATCGTTGGAATAGTTACTATATGATTTTATACTTCTGGAGGGAGAATATGATTGTACCTGCTGGTGGTGTACGGGAGTTCCATTTTTCATGTATGGGGTGCTCAAGACCTGAAAAATAAAATTAGTAGATGAATATTATAGAAATGCTAGGCAAATCTACACTTAATGGATGAATGCATTATTTATAACTCATGTCCTGCATCAATTCTTTAGTATAGTTTTCACTAGAAGGATGCAAGATTTGTATAAGATCACTTACTGTGACTTGCTCATGGAGGAATTTGATGTATTCTATAGCTTCAGAGAGCACCGAGGCTGTATCAGTCTGACATGATAACATGATCACAGGCCAAAAAGACAACCACTGATAAGCTTTAATGATTCAAGAATGAAAATGATCTGTCACTATTTACTCTTCGTGAGAGTGAGCAGCAGAAAAACGAGAGCGTTATCTTACCTTTCCGAAAGGTGAAACTAATTGTTGGAGTGCAGTGATTCTGTCCCCCATCTTCTCTTTCCTCGCCTATGATCAAAGCTACTAATTCTCATTCATGTCTTTAAATGATGGAAAGGATAAAAAGCTTGTATAGACTCATCTAGTCAAAATCT